CGGAGAGGGTGATCCCCTTGTTATCGGGGGTCTCCTCGGAGGGCTTCTTGTCTGTGGACGAGCCAGCGGGAGTGTTGGCAGCAGTGTTGGGCGCAGCGGCAGGGTTGGCATTGGCGTTGTTGGGGTCGTTCTTGTTCTTGTCGTCTTGGGTGCTGTTGGCCGCGCGCTTGGAGGTCATTCCGGCGCAGTCGATATCTTCCAGGAGGACGATGCAGCGGCGAGGGAGGTCTTGGAATAGAGACATCAAGTCGTCTTCGTCCAAGCTCTTGGAGCTCAGGTTCAGCAGGTATAGAGGGAGGCCGAGAAGTCCTGATGCTGCGAAGCAGAGACTGGTCTTTCCTGTTCCGGGAGGGCCGTGGAGGAGGTACCCCCGTCGGTAGGGGATGCCTCTGTTGGAGTACCATCTCCTCGTGCGGGGGTGGAGGTATTCCTTGATGTCTTTGATGAAAGACTGCTTCTGGTTCTGGTCTAGCACGACGGTGGAGAGAGGCCTGGGGTGGCGTGCCATGCAGCGTACCCAGTCAGTGTATCCGCCATTCTTCTGGCCGCGGTAGATAACTGTGCTGTTTCCGTCTCTGGCTACCCATGCCCTCTGAGCTTCCGCGAGGAGTTCCTTCAGGATAGTGGGGTCACGACCGAAACATGAGATGAACAGTCGCTCAGGCACGTATCGCATGTAGGAGATGGTGTTGTTGTTTTCCTCTTTGGCACGAGTGAAGGTAAGAAGGCGACCACGGAACCAGAAGTAATGGCTTCCTTCGGCTGGGGTGAAGCGGAGGCGCTTGAACTTGTCTCGTGCGACGGTCTTGGCCCAGTAGTCGTCGAAGTCGGAGACGACATTGCCGTTCTCGTCGTATTCATCTTCGTCATCCAGGTCACCCTCGTCGTCGGAGTCGTAGTACCGTGCGCCGCTGGAGATCTTGGTGCTAGCTACGAACTGAGTGGACTTTTTCGTAGAAGGGTGTTGTGCCATCCAGAACATCAGGTAGTTGTACACTTCATCCTCGAGGCGGATCTCAGCAGTTGAGACACAATACTCGGTTAATAGCTCATGTGAACGGGAGAACACATATCGCAGCGAAGCAACAAAGGCGACAGCCGTCAAAATCATGGGAATATATTGAGAGAGGTCGATGTGTAAATATGATATTAGGAACCGGGATATGAAGGAGTACCCCGGAATGAACATATCCAGCATCGCGCTGTCCGATGGATTCATATACTGTGAGGAAGATGTTGCGTTCATGATTGGAGTGTTGTTGATGGTGTTGCTGAGAAAGGCGCTTGAAGCCATGATGAGGGTTTCGTAACCGTAGGGTTTTGATATACTATATAGAAATCCAGCAATGCTAACAATGCCGTGGGCGCGGAGTTGACCTTGGAATTAAGTGATCTGTAGCGGCAAATAACAACGATATGCAATTATCCGGCAGCTCTATAAGAGAAAAATGGAAATTAACGCTGAAGAAAAGTTGCAACTAATTGGCATGGAAGGCTCCTATTGAGGAGAATGAGCTCTTCTTTTATAATTCTATCCCAGCCATGATGCGCCAGGCAAGAAGGCTGACAAGCCGTGGCATCGTGGGGTTGGTAGGCATCCATCTGCGCCGAGCGGTAGGAGCAGGATCTAGAGCGAGCCTCTGACCCATCGTGTAGGCCAATGTGTAACTGACGAACGGCGCCCAACGAAGGAAGTGACTGGCGCAGTGGAATGCGCAGCTGACGGGGAGCCACTTGAGTCATATTCCGAAGCAGGCGGGCGCCAATCCCGGCAACTCAGCCGGCGATCCTGTGGATTCTTCCTTTTCAGCCGCATCCCCATCTTCCTCGAGGGCATCTCCCTGCGAACCAATAATGCCTTGCTTGTTTTCAATCCTAGTCTGTAAAAATCCAAATGTGGGTATCTTGATTATGACGTATTAATGGGTTATTGGCCCCCCGTCTTAAGAAAAAGCTGCGCCTCGCAAAAACAACCAACAGTAAGACCACCAGAAAACCAACAAGCAAAGAAAACAATGTCACAGCCACTCGTTCTATGTCTATGATCACGATCCGGTGAAGTTATCTTTCACGGTGTCGAATATGTCGGTCGCCCACTCCTTCGCTTCCTGGAGTTTGTCCCAAAGGGTCCCCCACCAGGTAGGACCCTTCTCATCCTCGCTTTCCGGGTCAGGCTCGGGCTGAGCTTCAGGCGCCGTTTCCGTCGGGGACGCAGAAGAGGTAATCTCTGCCGACGGCATCATCGTTGGCGTCATAGTGGCGGTCGTGCTAGAAACCGGAGGGTCTGGAACACTGGCCAGCGTGGGCGTGTCTTCGTCAGAGTGAAGGCCTATCGTCTTGAGAGGCAGACGCATGGTCCCATTGTTCGGGTGGGCGGTGATGCCGAGTGAGTCGCAAATAATGTTGTACACATTGATGTTTTCTGCCTTGGTTAGCTCAAATCCAACTCCGCGCGACAAAGGGTCGAGGATGACTCACGAAATGCTTCCAAGCGACTGTTTGGTTCATGGGGGAATGCGGGTCCCCTGGCGATAAAGATTGCCCGCATCAAGGGGTGCTCGTGGTCATATCCATGAATGCCTCTGGGGTGGTAGATCTCCCCATTCTCCAAGGCCTTCTGGGCATCAAAGTCGGCACGCTCGACGACTGCCCACCCTGTCTTTGGAATTACCCACAGAGGGGCGATGCGATCATTGTTTTGGAAGTGATAGCGTTCAGGCATGCCCTCACGTGTGTAGATCTCGACCGCATGCGAATAGTTCGCGGCCACGCTCTCCAGCTGATCCTGGAGGATTTGGAGATGCTCTGGCCGTTTGGGACGCAGCCCGCGTAACGGCCAGCCGTCGATGCGCTGGACTAGATCAAGATCGACCAGGTCCTCCAACTGAACCAATCGCTCGGTCGCGGTTGTCGCCATGCCATGGTCGGAGACAATCACGATGTTCACGACATCTGTTAAATTACGTGCTTCGATACCGGAGAATAGGCTGCCAAGCATGTCGTCCACCTTAGCGATTGTGTTGCGAGTTTCAGTGCTGTTGGGGCCATAGTTATGTCCATCTGCATCAACGTTCGGGACATAAGCAGCGATAAACTGAGGCCTTTGGGGCGCAATGTCTGACTCCGCTTCTACTCCTGGCATATCCAACAGTCCCAAGATGCGTTCCACTTTCGAGGAAAGCTTTTCGGACCCGTTGTATTCGTCTAGGTAGGTTGGATCTACGCCTCCGATATGTGCCTCGGAGCCCGGCCACATATGAACAGCGGTCCTCACGCCCTGATTCTCGGCCGTCATCCAGAGGGGCTCCGCGTTCCACCATTTCGGCTGCATGCTGACGGTAGGGTGGGTATAGTAGAACTCTTCCTGCAGCTCCGGGTCCCAGAAGGTATTTCCAACGATTCCGTGGCTCTCGGGATATAGTCCCGTAACAAGTGTAAAATGATTCGGGAAGGTCACGCTCGGGAAACTGGGTAGCATGTACTGCGGCGAGACGCCATTTGCAATGAATGAGCGGAGGGTTGGTGTCAAGCCACGAGTGAGAAAGTCCGCTCGGAAGCCATCTAGAGAGATCAAGATCGTCGTGGGGGCGAACAACGCAGTGCCATTAGATAGAAGCTGGCTCGAGAAATGAGGGGCTCGATACTTTATAGATGCTTTATATGCGCCCAGTAAGAAGATGAGGAGAAGGATAAAGATAGCGGAGAATACGAGGGCGAGTCTGCGCCATGGAACGCGCCGTGGCTGGTTACCATAAATCAGTATCGGAGCTCCCGCAAAACCAATGAGAGGTTATTGTGTGACATCCATACCTGCATAAAAGCATATTCCTTGACCCGTGTGTCGAAGTCGGACGAAGATGCGCTCAGGAGAGAGTGCTCATCGTCCCGGTGACCCTCTTCCATCTCGAACATTATCTCTCCGGATCCACGCGCCTTCTTACGACGCTCTTTGCGGGCCTCTCTTCGGGCCTGTTGGCGTTGTCGCCTGCGTTCCTGCTTTCCGATTCGAACACTACTACTGCTGGGGCTGAAGATGCGGCGAAGGCCATGAGTTGGACCGGTTCGGGTGAGCAGTTTCTCTGTTTCTTCTTCCTCTTCCAGTACTGTGCGATCGTGCTCGGCAAGCTCTAATGTAGTGCGTGATCTCCGAAGAAACTCGTCGTCCTCCGAGTCAGAGTCCTGCTCTGACGGGGAACGTAGCGACTCGGCATCTTCGTCATAGTCGCCGGGAGACAGCAGGGCGGAGGTGGGAATGTTGCGTCGGAGAGGCATGGGTGACGGATGGTGGCATGAGGCCGGAGTGCAGAGGCACGGAGGAGGAACCGACCGACCTTGAAGCCGGTATAGCGACACGTATGAAGGGTTGGTAAGGGAAATAGTAAGGGTCTTGAGGGATGATAAAGGATGGCGGAATCATGGATTAATTGACCTCGAGGGGGCGGCGATCGGCGGATCTCCGGGCCGGTGCCGAATGAGAACCACTGGTCCGGCTTATGTCTGTCCTTCCCCCACACCATGGATATGCTCGAGTTTGTATAACTATCAAGACTTACCTCTTGAGTTGACGGAAGATTTTGTCCATGTATGAAGCTTGATCTACATTAAACTTTAACCACCTCCTATTCATCTGGTTTGAGGGATGTTTACATTTCGTCTATACCTCGCCGCTCAGCCAAAGGGGTCCTGGGGATAGTGATCAGTGGCCTCCATACTTGAAGCTTCACAAAGAAGTCATCCTTCAAGGCATTGGCATCTGTCTTGAAAACAACTGGCTAACTGAGTGCTAAAGCCATCATGTCTGGATTATGTCTCCCCTCCTCTGATGGGATGACAGCTTGTATTTGAGAACCAGACACAGAACAGAACTACAAAGGAGCTATCGAGCATTCAGAGAGACGGACAAACAATGCAAGGCTGGCTAGCATAAGCAGGAGCCTTGAACGAGAACGCTGTTGTTGAAGAGTCTTTAGTGCCTGTCTGTCGCTAAGTCCCAGCATTGGTAGTACTGAAAGCTGCAGTCGCAACGATGTTCCCAACAATCGACAACTTGCGCTTTGAATGACTAACATGACTAACGAAAGACGACCAAGTCACAAGTTGAGATACAACAGAAATCGCTAGATTGAGCTACTAATCGATCGACATTTAGGTGTGAAACCTCCAGTGGCACATTGCTTGCGAAACATGCCACAGTCGAGACTGCAACGTGGTGAGGTTGACGTTGCAGCATCCTGGGGATGCTTCCGTCTATTGAGAGGTTGCTGCATCCTCATTGCACTTCCTAAATGCGTTCAAAGATGCTGTTCTCTTCGCAGGGCTACAGATCGTCGAGGAATGGATCAACATTCCTCAGGCTGGCTGATTCCGGCCACTCGACTTCCCTTTTAGGAAGCCCTGGGGTGGGAGCTTCAAGTCACATGACACTGGGAAGAGCCCCAGTTGGATCTGCTACCAGCAGGAGTAGTTTATCTAGATCCGGGCGCCTGTCAATGCTTTGGGTTGCAGCTGTGCTATTTTGAGATCCAATCTGTTCGATCTAATCCGGAAGCAGTGCCTAGCTTCCCACGTTCGTTCCCACACTACGGCATCCGGATCCCTCAACCTCTTGCGATTCGTGGATAACACCATGAAGAAGCACTTGTACCAGAGTTTAAACCGACTGTCAAGCAAAGATGGTAGTACCGGAACGGTACATCAAGGAAAGCTATAAAGAACCTCAAGATCCAGCTCGATCCGTCAGCGTTGTCATGCTTCATTCTCTACCTTCCAATCCTTCTTGACGCTCAGTTTTGCTGCTTGTACCGCGATAGATCTCTTTCTTCTTTCTCTCCCAGGTCTCTTCCATTCACAATGCGTTACTCAACCCACGTTGTGACCGCTCTGGCCTTCGCTGCCGGCACTGTCCACGCAGCCCAGTCCGCTAGTGACGACGGCAAAGTGACAACAGTGACCGCCCAAAGTACCGTCGAAGCCACCGCTGTCGTCACCGCGGAGCCCAGCAGTGCTGCAACTGAATCCGCCGTTCAGCACCCCCCTCCCATTGCCGCATCCAGTGCCCCAGCTTCTGCCTCCTCCGAGACAAGCGTCCCAGTCATCAAGTCCAGCGCTACCGAGTCTCAGCCCGCTGTCACCGAATCCAGCGCTCCAGTAGCCACCAACACCGAGCCCGCCGCTGCTGGCTCCAGCGCTCCGGCTACCCAGGTGATTGGCACCGCCGCTCAAACGAGCGTCCCGCTCATCAAGACCTCCGGAGGGGAGACACAGGCCGCTCAAACGAGCGCTCCAGCTGCTGCCAGCGTTCCACCAGTACCGATCGAATCGAACCCCGCCGTGACCAGTGCTCCTCCTGCCAGCATCCCCCCGGCCGCTAGCGGCAACGCCAGCACCACTTCATCGCAGCGGTTCTCCAACTCGACTACCTCTTCAGGGTCCTTCTCTACCGGCACCTCTGGAGGCGGTGGCGGTGGCGGCGGCGCTGCTACTGTTCCTGCTGCACCTACCTCCACGGGATTCATCTCGTCCAGCTCCGGTGCCAAGATGGTTCTTCCCGGCCTTGCTCTTGTCGGAAGCATCGCCATGGGCTTGCTTGTCTTGGCTTAGATCAGCGCTACTTTGCCTTGAGCCTAAATATTGTCTTTCTTCTGAGATTATTCCTTCGATATCATGCATCACTAGATTGCCTGATGACAAGACGACTGCCCCCGAAACCAATACAGAAAAAAAAGACAATACAGCGAAATGGGGCAGACCTTTTTCTTTCACCCCCAGAAACTCTTATAAAAAGACTAATAATCATTGACGAGAAGTGGATCGCTTCGCTCACTTATGATACATCTATTTCTGGCTTGCTTGTTAATTCCAGGTGTTTGTCCTTCACAATACAAATAATATATACTATGCTCTTGTAGAATTCCGATATTGTACTCTGGATGAGAATACCAGATAGTCAATCTGTTGGATTTATATTATAGAGGTATATACGGCGTTTTTTTTATCATCATGTTTTCATTTCTTACTTCGGTTTCTGGAGTACTCAGATTTCATGGATTGTGTATTAGACTTTGGTGAAATTCGTTCAATCCAATATGGACATGCATCCAGCAAAACAGTAGTCTATTTCAAGATGTGCGGGAAAAAAAACATCTATTTTATTCATACCTGTGCATCTATATTATACTGCATGCATCTTATCATATTCGAGTCATTACTCCCCATAGCAATGCAACCATGCGTTATATGCAATCACCATTCAGAACACAATCAAAAGTTAACAAATCATTTTATCTTTTTTTTCCCTTCCATCCTACGAATTCGATACCCAATTCGCCCACTTACAAGAACACCCCCCACTCCCACCATCAACACCCCCATAATCCCCCGTCGCATCCGTCGACGAATTCCCATATAGATCGAAAATCCCCGGGGCCGGATTAACCAGCGTGCCACCGTACGATCGATCCTCGAGCTGCAACTTGACTTCCGTCGAGTTGATCTGCTCGCCGCTCTCCATGCCATAACAATAGACCATTTTCTTCATCGCGTCCCCGCCATGGCGGTCTAGAGTTATGGTGACGGGGTAAGGAAAGGATCCGGGGCGGGTCCAGTCATTCGCGGAGGAAGGTGTGGTCGTTTCTGTTGCTGTTGATGTGGATGCGGTTGCAGATGCTGTGGACGTGGAGGTTGAGTTCTGCAAGAGGGTGTCGTTGGAGCGGGTCCAGATTTGAACGAGGAAGCGGGTTTGTGACCATGTGCAGCGGACGCGGGCGTCGGATTCGTTAGATCCGCCGTTTTGGTCATTGGGGTTTGTGTCGGTTGTGTTGCCGTCGAGGGGGGCGAGGGAGGAGAGGAAGATGGAGCGGTCGAAGTAGGTGTAGAAGCCGTAGTGTTCTGTGTTGAGGCCGCGGTTGTAGAGGCGGACTGGTTGGGAAGAGGGTAATGGGTATATGTCTGCGGCGGCGGCGGTTCCGTCGGAGTCTTCGTCTGGGGATGGGATTATTGTTGCGAGATTGGGGAAGGAGCTGTCGGAGGATCTTCGCGCCAGGCGAAGGGTGGATGTCGATGTTAGGGTGCTGGCGGAGAGGAAGGTCATGTAGAAGGGGGTTTCTTCGCCAGCGTACGGGACGGTGTTGTTGTCTGTTGTGTTGCCGAGGAAGGTCTGGTCTTTCATGCTCGGTGGGGATGGCGATGGGCTGTAGGGGTTGTCGGAGCTCCGCGAGGAGAGGGTCTTGCTGGATCTTGTGGCAATCGTGGTGCTGTTAGGGTAGGTACCGTTGCGGAATCGGATTTCCACACGGAAGTTCGGCTCGTTGGCTGCGTAGGGCTCGTTGGCGGATTGTTCCTCTGGTGGTAGAGCACAGCTCCAGAGCGTGGATGGAGTTATACATCCTGATTGCTGGACCTGAGGCTTTGGTCCGGCAATCGTTGCGATACCGGTGGGCATCGGTGGATAGCCGGTGAGATTGAGCCACTGTGACTCCACAGGAGTTGAGTCGCCTTTTCCTGTTAAGGTCATTACTAGGAGGAGGATGATCGCTATGATGATGAGGAAGGATGTGAGGATAGCCAGGTACCACCGACGTTTGACCTTCTTCTCCTTCTTGTCTTTCCTACCGAAACAGCCATTCTTGTGAGACCGGTCACCACCGCAACAGCAACAGCAGAACAACAAGCCAAACTTCTTTTTCTTTTTCTTCTTGTCTTCTGTCTCTAACGTTTTCCGTCGAATTTCAATTATCTCTCTCTCTGTCGTGGTATGTGACACTTCCTCTCGTGAGAGTGGATGAGGCTCCATGCGATGTATAGAGGAGCTAGTGTAGTGAGAAGTATATGTAGGCACTGGTGTAGATGAGCTGTTGTGATTGGACGTGTATGCAGGCGCCGGAGTGGTATGCATGTCGGATAACGGGATTGACCCAGCCCTCTCGGTGGCTTGCTGAAGGCCAGGAGACGTAGGGTTCGGCGGCTGCGGCTCAGCCTGCTGTTCCTGAGGGAATGCTGGATGCTGGTGTCCATTTGGTGCTATGAGAATTGGCGATGGGACAGTAGCGGGATGGACATGAATAGTCTGAGCTGGAGGCGCGGGTTGTGCAACCGGTTGGGGAGCTTGCACTATTATGGGTTGAATGGCTGGCTGGGGCGCTGGCTGAGGAGCTGGTTGGACCACTGGTTGGATGATTGGCTGAAAGATTGGCCAAGATGTTTTCCTTTCATATTGACTGTCTGGAGGCGGGGCTAATTCTCCTGTTTCTCCTCCGGCATGCGGCGTTGGAAATGCTTCTTGAGGCAACCCCCGCGACACTTCATCAGAAATGGGCTGATTTGGAGTGTTGCCAAGAGGTCCTCCAGCCGAAGGGTGTTCACTCGGAGGATGTTCGCTGGGAGGATGCTCACCGGGAGGGTGCTGACTAGGAGGATGCTCGATTGGGGGATGCTCGCTCGAAGGATACTCGCTCGAAGGATACTCGCTCAGAGGAAGCAGGGTTGGAGGAGGTTGGATTGTCGGATGCTCAGACAGAGGTATCCCCCTTGAGCTGGCTTTCCCAATTGGATCATTGTCCTGAAGATTGTCAAGGGCGGCCTCTACTCCCTTATCCATAACACTCGGTTCATACACAGTGCGTGCCTCTGAGGCAGTGGGAACAGCTGTCGAGCCAGTACATTTATCTTGTGGCATGTCTCCCACGTCGATCAGGAGATCCCTACTGTCTGTGGAGCTCACAGCTGTACCCTCAGTATAGCCGGGGATCTTGTCTTTGGGTGTTATAGAGCAGACGTGGTTGACGCATTCGAAGTACGGCCGTCCGCTGAACAATTCGTGGGCACAAGCTTGGTAGTATTCAGCTGCAGAGCCCTGGATTGGCCTTCCCGGGAACATGAAGGATGTCGCATCTCTCGCTCGTTCGACAGGTTGGTTTTGATCACTCAGTCTTTTCTCGTCAAAGGGATTCAGACCAGCGTCTGGCCAATCGGGTGTCAATTCCTTATGGTGAGGTATTATGGCTTCTGGCGTGTCGGGCGAAAAGCTGGATACTTCCTTTTCCCACCACTCATCACTCGATGCCCTTGACTCCGTTGCGATACTGGGAACTGGTGGTCTAGCAGTCTCAGTTGGGGTGGTGGGACCCATGGCTGTGCTGTAGCGACTCAACAAAGGTGAAAGCAAGTAGGTCCACCAACCCTGGGATTGATGCCTGTTTGTTTCAGTGTTGATGCTTAATCTATCCGGAATTTTTCTGGTATTCCCGCTAGAAAATGACCGAGACCGGCTCTCCCGTCGCACATCATCTTCTTCAAACAGAGTGCCAGTTGAGAGCGAGCGCTGTCTCCCTGTTGCAAATACAGATTGCCTTCGTGTCGGTTCAGTGTTCATGTTCATGCTCGGATTCTCATTCTGCTCCAAGAAGGCAAGATTCGGGATAGCAGGCACAGGCGGAATGTTAATATCACTGTCATTGTCATCGGGGTACGGCGTTGGTTGAGAGTAAATGCTAGACGCTATCCTAGGACGAGGATGAGTCGTGTCAAGGCCTGCCCAGAATGTGTCTTCCTTGGCCGGAGTCACAATTATGGACGGGGTCAGTGCCGCTCGTTGGGCATGTCCAGTGTTTACTGTTAGCCCTCTTCCTTGAGTGCTTAGCGATTCATCAGATGGCATGCTTAGTCCAATCATAATCGGCCGATCGGATGGCGACAGATCGTCATTTCCCTTCTTTTTTCGCCTGATGTTGAAGTAAGACAGTCGTTTGCTGTCGAATACGGACGGTTTCACGGACGATTGGTCATAGTCCTGACCGGGAACTTTCTTCAATATTCCTTTCAAAGTATGTGTGTTCCTTTCCTGTTCTCGCACCTCAGAGAGAGCTTTTAGGTCATTCAAATCCATTAAAGTTGGCACTGATCCATCTTCAGGCGCATTTGACGTAGAACGAGAGAAGTCAGTTACCAAACTCAACCCGACAGGCCGTTCCGAGCTCTTTCCCGTGTAGAGTCCAAGATTGCTTAGGTCCTCTTGGTTCGGATTCGTCTGATAAGAGACCCCCGTCCCGGCCACTGCTTCCTGTGACTGTGTGTGCTTGTCATAACTTCCCTCGCGTATAAAAGGATTATTCCTGCGCGTTGTCTTATTCAGAAAAGCAAAAGGTCGATTTCTTTCCATGTCATGATCTTCTGGAGAGGATGGCACCGGGCTCGGAATCTCCTCTGTGATAGGAGACGACAAAGGGAAAGTCGGAGCTGCAGGAATTCGTAGTCCTGCCGTCGAATTCTGCATCTCGGGGGCCGTATGGCCTGCGAGGCCCAAAATTTGCCTTATACTAGACCAGATCATCAGTTGGCTGGTTTCAGTAACACACCATTCAGGGGGTTGGAGTAGGCCAAGTTACCGTAGACGGACTGGTGTAGCAGATGAAGGTCGTTTCGGGTATAGATCAAGCAAGCCAGCTGCGAGATTGTGAAGCCTTTCCTTGTTTAGATCGACAGTCTTTGATCGTGCAAGTGCAAAACAAAGGACGCTTGGGTTGGTATTGTTGTGATCAAAGCATCCAGGTGAGACAATCGCAAACCAGATGAAACAATGACCTTCAGAGCACAAAGCAGCCTCAACACAACAACGCAACAACGCCGGCTGTTATTCACACATTCCACTATTATGGAGAAAGGGATACAAAGAGCACAAAGAAAAGCGAATAGGTCCGAACCCGTAATCTAGGTGGACAATTCAAACACGACCGGCTGAAGTGGGAGAAGTAGCACATGGACAAGCAAGGCAACAGAGAGAAGAGGAGAAACGATGGAAGAATCATTCCACGACCGGCTGATGCCAGGAAAAAGTCCAAGCACCCGGTGGGTGCTAGGAATGAATGGGAGAGCTCATGCATATCATGCAACACCCATCCTTGACCTGGACACTTTGCGGACCCGCATGGTCCTGGCTACTATTTGTGCCGAGTGCCAAATCCTCCGGCCTCAGACCGTCGAGCCGGACGGGTTGACACCATTGGTCACGGTTGCTTGGATCGACTCTGCAAGATGATGTTTGGCAGGTAGCTCCAGGGGTGGATTGGCTCCTGAAGAAGCCGTGGGAGCTCTGTAGCCGCCGATGGGGGGCACGCGGCGCTAACAGAAGCATATCTACGACGCCGGTGAGGTTGCAGAACATCGCCGGGCACCAATCAGCAGCCACGACGCCCAGGGACAAAAATAGCCTGCATCAACACGGCAGTCCACCAGATGCCCCCCCCAAAGCCAAAGTAGCTCTGACCTCCTAACTAACAGTATCAACAATCAACGGCGGTTTGAAGCTACAAATGTCATGAGACTCTCCGCTTAGTCGACTCAATTCGGAAATTACCAGGACGGAAACTGAGGTGAAATAGGTTCTCGATCGACATCCGTGTCGACCGGTATCAACCGATGCTTCAACATTTGATTTCCAGGTATCTGTAGAGCAAAATACACATAATAAACAAACCATGGGGATATCAAAACAATGCCACACATACACACACACTCCTTTTTCCAAACAATTGTTGTTCGTGTTTCCTTTTTGACCTTCTTCCGTGCATTCACGGTACCTTTAACAAACACCGACAATACATGATGAAGGGCGAATAAACACAGACCCCACGCCCTCAAGTTTCCATTTCTTGGGGAGGAGTAAAAAGGAGAAGAAAAACGGGTAGGGGTGAAATGACTTTGGGGAGGTGGAAGCCACCTTGACCCCGAGATGTTATGTAACGGGACATGACCAGGGGAGTAATGCGGGAGAGGTAAGAAATATAGAGAAACAGGATGAGGTATCGGTTCCCCGCCATAGGCTAGCCAAGAATCGCTGTCATGCCGACCAGAATGATGGGTAGGATGATGAAATAGTCAAGCAGATGGACGCTCGAAAGGACGATAGCCACCCAAAACAAATCTACAAGCCAGAGAAAGAGAAGTCGGATATCACGTCTAGAGCGCGGGGTGATGTGGACCGTGTCAAGTAAAGCAACCGTCACCAATGCATTCATCATGGGCTATATCATGGGTGAAACGATCGGTGGCCCTCGATTAGCTACCGCCGTTCGTCGGTGTATTGCACGCCTTGCATTGGAGCAACCGTCCCGTTCATGAGAGGAGGAAGCGTTCGCGGTTGCTCTTGTGGCATCGCAGTTCCAGGAGCATAACCGGAAAACATAGCGCCATGCACTTGCCCATTTGGCTGCGGCGCTGTTATGGGATGATGCTCGAAGATCGACGGCTGTCGAGATTGGCCATTGGCTTGCTGCTGACTGAGTTGCGCGCGCATCTCGTCAAGTTCGCTCCTCAACACGTCATTTTCTCTGCGAGTAGTAGTAACCATCTTCTCAAGATGTGAGATGTATTCAATAGCTACAAGTATGTTAGCACAAGAAACAACAACTAGGGCTGTGGTTGTGATGGTTTAAATTACCTCTTGTGAGAGTCTCCCATTTACTCGATTTATTGTTCTGACTTTGTGGGAGGCGGACACGTAAAGCTTCGAAGCAATCCTTCATCTCACTGCGGCGCTTACGCTCCGCCAACTTGTGTGTTACTCTCAGCTCGGGGGTCCTGCTGTAAGGCGTGCTACCGCTATGTGCGTCTGCTTCTCCAATGAGACCGCGGACTTGTTTGTGCTGTAAGGAATGGTGATGCACATTTTGAGGGAGTTCTAAAGAAATGTCAGGAACGGTGGTTCGTATATCTTAGGGACTTAGAAAGACATACCATGCTGTCCACGAGGCAACCGTGCATCAGAGAAGACGCTACTGGCAAGCGACTCAGCTGTACTTCCTTTGCGGGAGAATTGATTGGTTGACTTCTCGGTGGTAGAAGAGACAGAGTTGGATCGCGCAACGTCGGGATCGGGGAAAGCGTATGCAAGACCAGCGGTAGGTGCCTCCGCATTGTAGATCTCGGAGCGAGGATTCGATGAGATGGCAGGTGCAGTGCGACCAGCTGCAAATCCGCGATGTTCGCTAGCCCGCGGGCCAAGTGGGGAGAGTGGTTGGCCCCCAGAGTATCGAGGGCCGCGATAGGAATTGTTCATATTCACGTCCATGGAGATACCGCGCTCTCGTTGAAGACCCGAAACAATCGACGTTTGCGAAGCATTCGTGCTATGGTAAGGAGATGCGGGGTTAATAGCAAGCGAGCTGATTCCTTGGTTCATCCTGCTATCCACACTGCTCCGTCGAGACTCAGGGGGCTCCACCATACTGCCTCGTTGAGAAGGCGCATCGTAGTTCTGGTTGATCGAAGGTAGGGTGGTGTTCGGCTGAGTCGAGCCGAAATTCGGAGAAGGCTGCGCTCCCGCAGATGAAGGCGTGTTGGTGTTAGAGTGGTCGTTGGGGTAAGGGGACCGATCCGAGACGTAGGATGCGCGATTGGGAGAAGGTTGGGATGTGAGGAAGGAGAGAGAGGGATAGTTGCCTGTCGCATTTGTCGTGGTTGAGTAGGTAGACGACCCTAGGGGACAATCAGCCTCCGCAGGTGGGAATGAATAGGACGAAGCCTTACTGGTACTCTGAGGCATGGACCAATTCCCCGAATCACGCTCTATCGTATTTAAAGAGGCATTTCCCGGTGACTTCTCGGCCTGAGTAGGCATGCCACCGGCCATACTTGCTGTCAAGGTCGAGATAGACGGGAGAGTCTGAGTAGACGACACTGGAGGGGTTTGCGGTCCCGTGGTAGCGGGCTCCCAAGGTCGATGAGCAAGAGTAGTCTCCATGACAATCTGTTGACTGGTGTACCAGCACTCTAGAAAGGTACAAAGGAAATGGATCTCAGGGGAGAAAAGGCGTTAGAAGAGGCAATATCGCAAGGAGTGTTCTGAAGTGTTTCGAGAGCAGATGGTGTAAAAGTCAGGGTCTCTCCGCTATCTCATGTTCGGATATCGGCACAACACGTAGTAAGACAGTGAACGTTTCAACGTTGACTGGCAGACCGATTTTATGTAGTATAAATTTAACCAATCGTATGTGTTCCAATGGCGAATCCGTGGAGTGCGCGCAAGTATGACTATCCGAAAACCGAGGTAACAGCCTGGCGCGTTGATGGGATCTCGATGGGGGGGTGGGGGCAAATCGCTAATCCAACTGATTCTGAAAGACCTCCGATTCTGGTGGAAATAAATGCAAAGTGACAGAATCCAGCAGAGTGATAGAAATCTGTCTCCACTTGACAGTCAACACCGGGGTGTATAACCAAGAGGGTGGTATGCGTCAACGAACCGTCTTCGCACGGTATTGGCGAATCGGCAGACACGGAGTCAGAGGCAAGGGCGAAAAATGCTATGCGAAAATCGTGAAGGGCGCAGTGACGTCCAGGTCGCAAAGGTATGCCCGGAAGAGGGAAAATGGAAAAACTGCCGGAGAGGAGAGGAGGGCGGGAGGAGCCGTCGTGGTGAAAGCGAGCGGAAGACGGAGAGTGAGAAGGATAGGAAAGAGAGGCGGATGGGAGAGAGGTGTTAAGTGACGATTAACTGGGATCGGCGAAGGAGAGAAGGTGTATGATGAAAATCGACTTTTTTTTTTTCCCCCCAAACAAGAAAAAGTAGAGGAAGAGTAAGGTAGGAGAAGAAAAAAGGGAACACTAAATGTTAAGTAAAGGAACAAATCGTGTCAGCTTCGGCCACATGGGGGGCTGACGGAAATTATGTACGGGAGGGCCAATGGTTCCGGGGCATAGGTTTGCGGTGCAGGACTGGATGGAGCTTACCAGATGGCGAAGGTGCAAAACGCTCGGGCGGCGCAGCGGAACGTGGCACGAGATTAAAACGACGAACAATTGGGCAGGAAGCTGTGTTAGGGCAAGGTCCCCGACCGATAGCCAGCAGAACCTTAACGTGACCGGCTAGAACGAAGGCTTGCGGGGAATGAGAGTAGTAGGAGTAGTAGTGGTGGTAGTAAGTAAGTACTAAGTAAGTAGTAAGAGGGAGGGGAGGGAGGGAGGGGGGTGGGTGGGAGAGAGGGGGCAAATGATGAGCCGGCAAAAAATGAGAGGAGCAGAGAGAAAAGAGAAGAAGGACTAGAAGGGCACTTGACTGAGGAAGGCAAGTCGTGGGACGGGCGGGCTGAGAAGTAAGAAAATCGGAGCAGAAGGGGGGAGGCAGAGAGAGGGAGGAGAGGAGGGGGGGGGGCCGCGGTTTGAAGAATGGATGAGAGCGGGTAACAGTAGAAGTGAAAAATAATAATAAAAAAAAAAAGTGGTGAGTAGTAAAGTAGTAGTAGTAAAAGTAAGCCAGCTCGTCAGTTAACTGCAAGCTCTTTCTGCTTTTCCCTCCTCAACTAACACCAGATAGGTGAAAGCAGTAATAATAATAGTAGTAACCAGTCAACGCCGTCTCTTCTCGTCTAGTTCGCAGGAACCAGACTGTGGCACTGGTGTCTCGTCGTTTTGGAAACCTCGATGGATCGGGCGGGAAAATGTTAAGGGAGATGGGAACTTTGCTCTTAGTTGCGGGAGCTATTCGGACTAGTTTGGAGAAAGTTGGAGCGGGTCTGGATGAGAGACCCAAAAGAGTCTTTAGAAGAAAATGAAATAGTAAGAGAATGTATGTGTCGTTTTCTTCTAAGCAAGAAGGGAAGGAAAGTCAGATATTGAGATCAGTTCGGATTTTGACGGTGGAAAAGGCCGATTATGGGATGGACCAGGAAAACCAAGGCTCGAGAGAGAGAGAGAGAGAGAGAGAGAGAGAGAGGGGAAGAGGAGAAGATTAGAAGAATAAGCACTACTACTTCTTGGTTGAAGATGTTCCCTCCTCACCTTGGGGTAAAAGGGTCAGAATGGAGTAAAAGAACAAGCAGTCTGTAAGTAATAGTACCGGGCGGCCCTGAAGCGCAAGGCAAAGGTACCGATGCTGCATAGCAAGCAAATAGAAAATGACGAGATCGAGTGACAGATGCAGTTTACCTAACGCCAAAATAGAATCGAATTAAGGGCTGGATGAGAAAATAATAATAATACAAAATAAATAAATAAAAAATAATGATAATTCTCATGTAAAGCAAAAATCGAGGTGAGACTCGGCGACTGAAGGACAATCCAGAAAGGGAAAAAAGAGAAACTGATTTTCTTTATTTTATTTTTTCATATTACTATTCCCGAAAGAAAAAAGCAAATAAATAAAATAAAATAGAATAAGAAGGTTAAGAACAAAGTGGTGCCGCCGCCAACTTCCATTTCATCCCTTCCTTCCTTCCTGCAGCCTCCCTGGTAGTAGTACATGTAATAGGAGTGGGAGAAAGGGCAATAAATCTATCGATGCTGATTCAACACTTGCATCCAAGATCTCTCTCTCCCAAATCATTTCGATCTTCTTACAATATGCCTATTACCTGTTTGCTCTAATTCCATTGTCAAAGTAGATGATCATAGCATACATTTCATGGCTGGCTGTATTGAAATGAAGATAACTCTTTGGGTCTTGTCTCTTTCTGCCTCTCTCTTAGCCACATGAGACAACCACTTCTATACGAAAGCAAAATATTCCTCGATGGGTATAAGAGAGATGACAAGTACAGTCCTGTATGAAAGTAAGAGAGACATGAGCGATAAAAGGTCGCTTGGCGCTGCGTACTTGAACCGTACGTGGTCAGCAGTGGCTGCCAGCAATTGGATAGGAATTGAAGCCATCCCAACAGGATCAGCCACTAAAGACAACCATTTTCTCCGTGGCTCAAAACATAGTACAGACTATTCAATTTTCCATATGACAGATAGCCTCAGAGGCGCACCGCAAGTTCGGGGACAAAAAGAGAGGAAAGCCGGCTAACATAGGTCATAAGTAGAAGGGGAAGGCCGCCCGGAAAGCAGCCAAGCATTAGAAAAGGAAGGAAAATAAAATAGTAAAAACAGATAATAAAATGTCGAGTAAATGGAATAAGAAAATTAAATTAAATTGACCAGAAAGGAAGGGGAGCAAATTAGTCATACTAAAGACTGCGACTAACTTAACTAACCCAACTGAAATAAAAATAGTTAATACGACATCCTAAAGCGATTGAGTCCACCGCCACGAGGCGGCCATTTCGCTGAGGGTCCAGCTGCTCCTCATTCCGTGGGTTGCAGTTCTGCCGCATTTTTAGGAGGCGACCGAAGAATGGTCGATTATTATCATCAGACTTTTCCATCATGGCTTTTATTTTCTTTTCGTGTCTCACAAACTCTGACTCTGACGGCGAAGGTCCAGCCCAGTCATATTATCAGTCGGCTAGCGATCAGTGTAAGTGTAAATGTCAGGTACCAAACTTGAAGTTGCTTAGTCCTCCACTAGCGATTTAGCGCATCGGATAGCTCTGCTGGAGTCGAGAAGAAGGAAATCTGCTCCTCTTTCCCTTTTGTCGGCAGGATCAGAGCCACGTTTGACAGTTCCCCGGCCATCGCAGGGAATTATTGGTCCTGATGGCGCCTGGTGTCCACCCTTCCACCCATGTCCGTGTATCAATATTGCAGCTTATCAACCGGTCGCTTCTCCCGGGCCCTGGCTCATGATACGTATACGATTAATATCTGGCAAATCATGCCGATGGGGATTATGTGGTGCGTACTTCTGCCGGTCGTTCATGATCGGACTTGGACATCTCCCGGAAACGAGCAGAGATCCGTCGTTCTTTTTTGGATCCTGGATCGTATCCGCGAAGGAAAGCTCGAATGAGCCTTGTCCGGGTTGGGTAATCATCGTTGAACCTAACTGGGGCAAATTTGACGCAGATCGGGACCGAGGTTGCCTCACACATCAGACGCCCCATTTATTTTACTCCCTCCCAGTCCCGTGAGGTATCTCTGGAGTAAAAATCTCCTTTCGAAAATACATTCATCCGACTATCGGGGAGAATCTTGGTAATGTTAATGGTCCAGGACGCCTAAGAGCATTTCCTTATTCATACTGTAGGTGCAAGTCTTTTTTTTTTTTTTTTTTTTTTTTTTCCTTTCATGGGTTATATCTAAATATCTTCGGTTTGGGAGTACTACTAGTAGTACTATCCGGGTAGGATAACGAAGAAACAAGACTGTCATCGACCGCCCCACTGGTCGAGTCAAGCGGGAGCGCCTAGGCAAGTGGGATCCATAACTTTCCCATCCAGCGGGAAAACTTTGTGTCTGCCTGTTGGTAACGACTCATAACTCATATCTACTTACTGTAGTAGTAGTGAGACGCGATGGCCCAACAGGGACAAACTGCTTTAAACCTCCACCTGGTTGCTCTCTATCTACCCCTTTGGGCGCTAAGCTAAACCAGGTTGGGGAAAATTGTAGTTCAGACCAGCCGGGAAGTGGGGCCCAGAATGGATGGGGAGTCGATCCCAGCGCGGGTGGGCGAATCAGCATTGGGGCCGCTGGCATGGCGAATGCATCCTCCACGCCTGCAAAATGTCCCGTGGGCTGAAGAATTCCCGGCCTTACTTAGCACTCGAACCATGACGGGAGAACACGTTGTTGAACGCCTGTCCCAGGCAAATCCGCGGGGGGAAGGGGCCGCTATCATGCCAGGAATATTTAACACAGTACCAGGGGTCTTTTCGGAGCAATGAGTTGCAGCTGGGCCATTACATCACGAACCAGAGTCTCTGCATCATTGCTATTCAACGCCTGTCATCCCCATCGGTCGCATGGCCTTGTCATGGCTTACACCTTCAAAAAACGAAAATTGAAAAATCTTCAGGTAAAATTTTAGAAACTGAGTATCTACGCTTTTTGGAAGGTAAAACGGCGGTTACTCCAAATTCTTGGTCTAAACTGGATTTAGCAGCCGGGTCTCTGACTTTCTGAATCGGATAAGCTTTGTCGTCAATTTTCATGGTTTTCACCTGACTCGCCTTTACTCAATAGTACCCGTCTACAACAGCATATGAATCTGCCCACCGGTAGTTCATCCTGCCAGACATTTTGAGCTTGCACTGATTGGGATTGCATATCCGTTCACATCCGATACCTGAGACTCAAGGTGAGAGTGGGACAAATGGCAATGGTGTACTGGATGGGCCATCCCACGAAAGACAGGCGGTGCATCCAGATCATCCGCCTGATCCTTTAAACAAAGCAGAGGCCATCCTCGGTCGGCAACGATCTCGATGCGAACTGCCTTCACGTGGCTGCACTGGACGATCGGCCTCAGGGGTCCCACGACCGGCGAACTGCCGTAAGCGGCGTAAGCGTACCGTATTGGGCTTCCAGTGAAGGCTCCATCCACCCACGGTACCATTCCGTTCGCGCCAGAGCAGTTGGCACTTAGCCTTTTTGCTTGCATCGTCCTCCCTTGCAGACATTGGTTCAGCTTGAGATCAGGGTGAGGGCGGCAAATGCGACAGATTTCATGCTCGCTTTTATCCACAATCTATCTACAGGTGAGGAGGTTCTGAGCTCGAGTGGCCAGGTGCATGGGTCTGCTGTAGACCCCCTTTTAACAAAAGCCCCGCGGCGTGTTATGTCAGTTTAACCTTCAAAGCCCATAGGAGGAAGCATTAGGACCGTCGTCCAAGCTCCGTAGCCACGATTACTAGTCTTACTACGTGGTGCACAAGCCTAAGTGGCTGCAGCTGTTGGTTGGGACATGGTAGCAGGGGGGGAATGGTTGTCGGTAATGGCCAACAATACCTGCCCGACATCTAGTTCACAACACCTACCACATGGCCTGATTCCAGCAAAACTATGCCATTGATTGATAGGAAACGAAAAAGATGTTTCGAAGCAAGGGCAGCAACAAATTCAATTTACAATAAGATACAAGAAGAACCGGATATGTCGTCACACTTCGGAGTAGTATCATATTCCAGTTCGCTCACAGTGTCAGCGCGAAGTCTAAGTCTAACGCCCAATAAGGCCTAACGCACAACTCATTTGGCTTTCCAGCGCCCGACACATGGCAACCATGGTGGAATGATCGCCGCTAAAGAGGGGGGAGGGGGGTTCTGGACATGCGACGGTTGAGACTGGTTCAGCCACACGACGCCAAGCGTCCATGGTGTCCCCAATACACCTCGGAGGACCTCATCCTGGAAAGCACCAGAAGGGGGCAGTCGGGTCATGAGTGGTGAAGTCAGACAGCATGATAACAGCCACTGCAACATGGGTCCTGGCTGTCTGTAGCCAAAGAGCGACCACACCCATACACCAATTCTCTTAGATGCAGGGAGGCACCAATAATCAGACACTCAATACTTGGTTTTGCTCTTGGGGGATTGGGAAGGCCTGCACGCAGTATGTATTCCCCCCGCTCCGGTGGAATGTGACCAGCCGACATGCGCATCAAGGTACATGTGGACAATGTGCAGCATCCGCGAATAGCAGCAGCGCTAAAGCACTACGTAAGTAGCATGCACAGTTGTATCTCATGTATGATCTGCTTGGCCTTTTTCTTTCTTTCTTCCTGCCCTTGCCTGCCAAGTGCTGTATGTCGATCGCCCTCCGTGCGTTGTCTGATATGATCCCCTTTTAAGTAATCGCCATGGCCAGTGAGCTGGCTGGACGAGTCAGTCTCCCCGGAGTTGAGGTACTTTGCCAATTCCACCAGCCAGATTTATCCCTTCCTTGTCACCCACACCTTTCTGCAGCATGTCAAACTGCCTTCCACACATGGAACATGAAAGAATGTGGCGTCTATTTTGAGTGCCTGAAGCTTCACCGCAGACCTAGAATTGGTGTCACTCGAAACCCTTGCTGCTTCTGTCTTTATTTTGTGTTTTGTACTTGGACAATACCGCTGTTCTGTATTTTTGGCCCTTTGGGGGTGTTTTATCTCCATGATCAACTGTACTC